TATGCTGCCCTTCGGCTACCTAACTCACCGGGCATAACGCATTATTAAATATTTTAACTGTATGTGCTTCAGTCCAGCCGTGATAACCCTTCGACGAGATGGTCAGTTCCTGCAGCTGGTGCTATTGTAAGCTTTTGTAACTGTAGTGGTTTCTCAAAAATAGTGTTTATATAACACATAATTATTTATAGATATATATTTATTTATATTTTATATATCGCTATGATAGGCAGCAGCTTCTGCTGGTGCATATAACAGCAGACTCGTCCGGGGAAGTACCGTAGCTGACAGAAAACTTGCATCAAGTGGAAGTTGCATAGAAGGTTATACTTTTGCGTTTCGCCCAGTGACTGAAGTAGCCGGGGCTCTAATTTAAATTGTTGATTTTCATATACGGCTGTAATCACTTAACATCGGGTTCACATAAAAAATATTATAAATATTACACATTGCAGCAATAAACAGAAATATAATTAAATAACTTATACCTCTCTGCGCATTCTTAGCTCTGTGTACATCGGAGCGTTCTTGAGCACGCGACCAGCGAACCTTTCATTTCTGCTTCGTGACATTTCGCGGCGAAACAAAACGCTAGAAACCTTAACCGGTTGCAGCTACAAGCATAAATACGTGCGTACATACGAACCGCTATTCAGGTTGGGTTACAAAACTGTACAGTTGCTGAGACGATCGAAAAACCAGTCGACGGATTCGACTTTAATCTTTACGAATAGTTTCCGGGGCTGTACAGGCGGGCGTCATTTGTATGCTTATTCCGCCGTTTCAATTTGATTGGACAGGTCGCGAACTCAGGGATGTTTAAATGCCTTTTCGGAGTCTATTTTACATAGTCAAAAATCAAAATAATTTATTCATCGACTTGAGAAACATAAATTGCCGATAGTCATTGTTTTTAGGGTTCCGAAAACAAGTGGTTAAGCGTGACCCTATTACTAAGACTCCGGTGTTTGTCGGTCTGTATGTCTATCTGTCTGTTCGTCTGTCACCGTGTGAACCGTGATAGACAGTTGAAATTTTCACAGATAATGTATTTCTGTTGCCGTTCTAACAAAAAATACTAAAAGACAGAATAAAAAATATTTTAGTGGGGCTCCCATACAAAGGACATGATTTTTTTTGCCGTTTTTATAGATTGACTCGATTGCCGTTTTTATAGATAGCCGCACTTGGCCGATTTGATTTACTTCGTTTAGCACCAATCTTTTGTTTGTAAATAGGGCTTGAGGGCTGACTAAAAGTAGACTTTGTCATTATCTCAGAAGATACAAGCTAGGAGCATCCAAATTTTTTTATGTGAAAAGAGCAAATGAGAAGGCGGTTCACCCGATGTTAAGTCATAATTGTGTCTCATTGATATTTGCAGATGTGTTGCCACGTTTAAATAATCTGGGCCCGGCTACTTCACTCACCAGAAAAAACGCAGAAGTATGACACTTACACTTCAGCCGGTCTTCTGTGAGGTCGTGGTACTTACCTGGACGGACCTGCCTATTCGCGCAACTTTGACACTATTGACACTTTTTTTTTGTTTACTTGGGGGAAATGCCTACGCATACCCTGCCTCGCGGGGGCAAGAGCGGGTTATGTCGGACTCGCACCGACTAAAACCCCCACGATGTTCTACCTAAGCGCATATCGGCACGCTCACGGGAACGCTTTCGTACACTTCCGCCGTCCTACCAGCGCTGGCAGCCCCCCCTCCCGGGGAGTTGCCCCGGGAGCAACTCCCCCCTCCTCCAGGTCACCAGACCCCATTTTCACGGCCAACAAACTACCCCGAGTTCGCTGACCGGGGCCATGGGAGCCAAAAGAGCCAGTACTAATAAGCCGCAAGTCTCCTAGCCCCCAGAGGCGGACTAGGTCTGTGGCTCCGCCACTCACAACAAAAAAAAAAAACAAAAGCCCCTCCGCCACGCCAAGGCGGGAACCCGGTCGGAGGGGCTGTTGCGTGACTTAACCACAAAGAATACTAAAGCGTACTTTTACCTGTATAAATCGCTCTGAAACGTGGACTCGTATATTTGTTTTTAGCACCAGCATACAAACATTACGATTGTTAGATTTATGTCGTTTTGTAATCAAACTGGCACCCGGAAGAATTTAAATCGATGTCCGTATGAGATTTTAGCATGAAAGACTTATAAAAGTCACGAATTTATTAAGCCTTAAGATATATGCTTCGTGTCATCAGCCACGAGCGATTGTGCTTATTATTAATGCTTAAAAACGAGTGGAAAAAGACGTATCAAATAAATAAATTACGTATTATTACATGTTCTTCGTATTACTTAAGAGAAACCGTTCTCCTTGACACACGCGTCCCACTCAAAGTATAAGTTTAGCTTTTGAATAGATTGCTCGATTCCTTATTATCATCATAGACCAGCGGCACATATATCCGTCATTGTATGTCGCTATTACAAAGATGTCAGATGATTACATCAAATGGCGTGGATCTTCAAATCTCATTTGAATATTAGATCTGATCGGCAAAAAAGCGCATAAATTATGGCTTATTCTCTAAGATTATACACGAATTAGAAAAGAAGGCGTGTGTTGTGGTGAATAGTTCATTTTAATTTTTTCTTGACTTACTTTTCGCCTACTCTACAATACATCTTTTATATACATATATTATTCGTCTGTGCGTGTGTATGTCACTGAACTCCTCAACGGCTGGACTGATTTTAGTGCAACTAACTTGTGTGTGTCTTCAGGTCGATCCGATAATGGTTCAGATTCACAATTCGGTCCACTACAATTTTTTAAAGAGTTTTTGTTGTCGTTGTTTAGGACATGATTGTGTAAAGGACGCCATCTGTCGGTACCGATAGTTAAACTCATTAGGTTTTTTAGGAGATGTTTATTAGCCATTGAACGATTGAAGGTTTTTTCAATTAAATTATATGTTTATGTGATGAAACAACATTCGTATTTACTGATAGACGAAAAGACAAGTTATTCTCACATAAAGCGGATGCCGGATGTCCTTATGTCCTACATGGCGATTTCTAAACTCAATAACTACGGAAATGTTAAAGCCCACTCGGGTCAGAAATGTTTTGGCTGAATTTTCCAATTCAGTAAGATCCCACTTTTGATACGTGTGCGCGGCAGGTTGGACGCGATACGGTAGTTGACTTTTTAATGTGTCTGCAATTGACGGAATAATAATATCCTTTCTCATATTTTATTATTATAATTATGTATATGTTTTACTCTTTTATACTAATGTTATTTCTGGAGAATAAGACTTGTTGCTATCTATTGTTAGGTACGCCAAATTGATTCATCAAAACAATTACAGTACATATTGCGATTTTTTTTGTTAACGCATGATTTTATAATTCATCATTCATAATCGAGGCGTTAAAAAAAGCTATTATAAAGGAATATACTCCAATAAACTTCAAAAAGACCTTAAACTTTTGTTAGAATTACAAAGAAAAAAATGCTATTTGAATATAAATTATTATATAAGACATATTGTTAAAACTCATCCAGACTCCTACTATCAAGCACATGCAGAAATTGGTCCATATTACTCTGACATCTATGTTTTTCAGCTAAGAAATACAAAAGGCGTGCTTTGTGTCATAGCGCCTAGGTGTATTTTGATCTTTGTTATAGTTCCATCTCAAATGCGAGCGGTGGCCATTGGCCAAACGGTTTTAAAGGCGATTATGATCTTGTTTGAATCTCAAATGGCTTGCACCGAATACTTTCCACGTCAAAGTATTCAGTACATACAGTAATTTATCTTATTTACAACAGAATGTTATTTGTTTCTGTAGCGTTAACATGGTTGCATTACCATCGATGTGTGAATTTCTTGTTGTTGTAACATGATATATACCCGAGTGATCGAACCGATTCAACAGATGTTTAATTACGTACATGAAATCTATAGAAGAATTCAAATCCGATTGCTATTAATATGACTGCTGGAGACTTGCTATAGTCGAAGGTCATCCTTACGCAACTCGAATTCTGGTCTGTAAAACGAAAACTTTTAAATTTTATTTTATTTTATTTTATCGCCAATTTTGTAGCTTAAATTGGCAGTTTTATGAGTGGTTATCGTTCGATTTATATCTATAATTATATTTTATCTCAGACTTCAGTGCAAAGCGCCTAAATGACGAAACCATTAACAAGAGTTTTGGTTCTACTTCCCCGTCGACATTTGTTTTTTAGACATTCTCTAGTCTTAGTAATTGTTGCTTTTTATATTAAGAGACCTGTGGTCAAGCGACATGAAAGTAGTAAAAGCAGCCTCTATGTTATCTATCCCACTCGAAGGCAAAAGCCTCTGTGAAAAGGATTACGACTTTGGCCTCTTCACGACCATATTATATAACTATGGGTTGGCAGACTTCACCCTTCTTCGCTATTACGATCTATTCCTTCACCGCAGAGTACGTGGTAATCAGCACTATAAATTGCAATTTCAATTTCATCAGTGCCAACTACTGCAACCTTAGTTGGTTAGTACAGTGTTTCCAGTATTAAAAACGAGCGCCCGGACACTTAACTACGCATTTTAATTGATAACTTTTTCTTGTCAGTTAATTGATCTTCAGTTCGCATAACCAGCTGCAAAATCGATATAATTCTTGTAGTTACTGTCATCACTTAGATTACAGACGTAAACTTGATCAAAGCGTTACATAAGAGTTAACTTGAAAGAAGCCACGTAGGCTCTCCCGCGTTAACTAAGAACATGAATATAATAACTGCTGTTACTAAAAATAGAAGTAAAATTAAAAAAAAATAGTTCATTAATTCATAAGGACTGGCTAAAAATGATAATTTCGATACACGTCTTTCATCTTGTGCCAATACGTTTAGTCTTGGAACTGGTGAGCTATAGTGGATAAAAATTCCGGAAGCAAACAACGGAATGAAAAAGTCTAGTGATTAATTGCATTACTAAGAAGTAGCAAAACAAGAAGGAGCAGAAACAAATGTCAACTCACCAGAGCGGCCCGTTGTCGATTCCAGCAACGGCTTTAATGTGTCACTTGCGGAAAAGATTCTCTGAATGTTCAGGGGAGGCACTTCACATCGCTGCCCGTTCGCCGGACTGTCCACTACCCGAAGTAGTAGTCGTAATAGTAGAACAGCACGTATATCGCCACCGCGTACGCCGCGAACCTCACGTAGAGGCGGACAAAGTCCTTGATGAAGCACCAAATCGTCTGAACGACGCCCTTTTGGCTCTTGCTGTCGCCTTGGTGCATTTACACCGGCTCTCTCCTCATTTGGCCACTGAAACATCGAGGGCATCCGATGACTTTACGCTCCGGTCCCGAAAAGACAATGACTCATTAGGAATCATAGTCATTCTTTTTATCTATTTCTAATTTAAGTTTGGTTATATGGAATTGGACTTAGTTTTTCAACTTCATGCGACTCACGCTATTTTGGACAAGGTATCGTTTATCAGTTGGCAAGCTGTCAGAGGTCTAAAAGTTTCAGACTCAAAAAATAACTACCTTGATCTGCTTATTCTTGCCTGGCTGCAGGGACAAAATATCAGTATGTGCCAATAAATCTTTGGTAGTTACCAATAATAAACGAGTTCACCGTAAAGTAATGAAGCGAAAATAAACTAAGATGAAGATTAGATACACCAGTTTAAAATAAGTATAAATGGTTTTTGTATTCTTTTGGACCGAGCAACTACTTCCAACCTTCAATTTTAAACAGGTTTTCTATATCACATTGATGTGACTATTTCATATTAAAGTTACTGCATAAAATTATGAAGATTGAGTTGGTGTCTCATTGCTATCAGATAGTAATGTATATTTAATATTTTATTAGTTATTACAGCTGATAAAATTTGATCCGAGAATCGCTCAAAGTTATACTTGTAGGAAGAAGAATAAATGATATATCCTGGTTATTTGTTATTATGTAAACGACATGTAGGGTTTAAATCATTATCTTCTTTAGATTATTCGACCGTTACCACAGATAATATGTCTTTTGTCAATATGATTACTGCAAAACATTCTACAAGTCTCCTTCAGTACTAAGAGAAGTTAAAATAAGTTAAGTTACCGATGGTAAAATTCATTGAGAACAACTAAGCAATTGAATTTGCCAATTTCTTGGGAAATCCTCTTTTTGTGTAATCTGAATATCACTTGGCTACTAAAGACAAAGTAACCAATCATACATAGTAAACGCAACATTACAGTAAAACCTATTCACTCTCTATTTTACGTCTCCCGTGTTGAAATCATATCAATGACGCTCGCAAATTGGCCATTTATTTGCTGTATGCATCCTTACCTAATATTATAAAGGCGAAAGTTTGTAAAATGTATGGATGGATGTTTGTTACTCTTTCACGCAAATACTACTGAACGGATTTTAATGACCCTTTACAATAATATAGCTTATACATCAGAATAAGACATAGGTTATAATTTATACACATATTTTATGTATATCTATCTTTCTGTCTGAATGTTACGCCATCAGGCTATTCTACGCAGACGCAGTCGCGGGCAGCAGCTAGTAACAAATAAAACTGAATGCACATAGCAGACGTGCTTAAGGCGTGTCTCAAAAAGGCCTTTGTGCAACGAGAGACTGCCAAAATCTGTTGACCATCCCGATCGTGGCGATGATGGTGAAGCAAACAGGATAGTTCATCAAAGGGTCTATTTGGGCAGTAGATTGAGCTTGGTCATGTCAAGACCAGTTTTAAACTTAGCGTCGATGTTTCACCGTCCTGAAGCGTAGAAATCTGCGGACTCGTTATTCGGTACCCGCACAAATTGTGTAACGATACCGATTATACAACGGACGCTTTGGCTTACGACGCGTAAGGCATTAAACGTTATTGAGCATAAATTGTTATTAATTAGACAAGGAAAATTGTTATATTTATGTTTACTATCGCGAACTGGCTAGCTGTGCTCCTTATGTGACTATAATTTAGGCTATCGTTTCAATTTCTGCACAGTGCAAAGTTTTTTTTTTTTTTCGTTGACATAATATAGTTCCGAAGAGTGTCTTTCTCTACTGTTATTAAAGACCGTGGAGGAACAACACAAGCTTTTTATAGAAATCATCCTTTAATATGTATAGAATTGGGCAATTTATTTTTATCGCTAAGTAATCTGGTCCTACCTCTGTCATTAGTTAAACCACATAATGTGTTATAACTAATGAAAAAAATATATAACTTCAAAATATATAAATTCTAAGGACAATTTTAAAAATAATTAAACTAGTTTAAGTTTAACTAATCACGTTCAGATTAAATATCAATAATTATTCTTCTCTACATCCCTAACATGAATATGAAATAATTCATTTAACAATGTTAACATGAGAAATTATTAAAAGACAAACAAATTATTAATTTGAATAATCGCGAAAAAGAAAATTTTGTTTCTTACTAATTTATTTGATATTTATTTGTATGTAAATAACATTCAAACAGCCGTAGATATGAACCTATGTGTCTCAAATTGAGAAGCCAAATGTATTGTCACCCGTATGAAGTATGGAATGCCTGGTTACAAGTAAATTCATCGACAACGTTCGTAAACAGGTCACGTATCTACACGGCGGCCAAGTTGCAGCGAAACAAAATGAACTAAAACTTCATAGCATTGCTTTAAAGTAAATTTCAATGTACTCAAAAAATGCCTCATATATTTCACTACATAAAAGCACTTTATTGTTTTATTTTATATTCCTTACCAAGCGTTACAGTCAATTACATCTTTTTACATTAAATTATTTAATTCACTGATTACGTTGAAGAGGGAAAGAGATACAGGCGGCGAAGCAAATAATTTTTTTGAAACAAAAACTCACAGATCCCTTGAAATTGTATTTATTTAGAAAGTGAGCAATTTACGATATTTCACTCTCATATTCGTTCAGTACATTATGACAGGGTTATGCGTAAGTTATTTAAAACCGCAACATTAATATAAACCATTACTGCCAGCCGCCTCGCTCTGACTTAACAGAAGAAAACGTTTAAATTGCGCACGATTATATGACCATATTAATATAAAAATGCGTCCGGTATACGCACGAAGGTCTTCGGTAAACGCATTCCGAATTGCTTTGCATTTAAATAGACACCGCTCACCAGTAAACTAACGCTAACTACTAAGTACTTATAATTGACAATTTAAAAAGATAAAATACGCCACCCATTTTCGTTCACACCTAATTACTTGACGGAACAAATACCTAGTATTCACACGTAAAAGCACCGAAACGCGCCTGCTGGCACTAAGTTTCACCGGTCCTGAGGGCACCAACGAGCACTAACCGAAGGCACTTTCGAGCAGTTTCCCGCACGGCCGCGGACTAACGCTTCGTCGCGGCGCACCTCGACAGTGGGGCGCTAGGGTGACCACCGTTGCGAAACGCCTCCTTGGACATCTTTGGATACGTCGCAACTCGTAATGGATTGTTTGTCCAACAAACAGCTGTCGTCAATTTCAAATTATCAAGCGTAACTTTATTTTTAATGTCTTTAAGCGGTTAATTTATACAAGTGATTTAAAGATTGGTTGTTTTACGTCACACAACGCGACTTCACTTTTTCACCGCTGTGAAATTTAAATCATTAATTGTCACATTCATCTTGTATAAAATCAAAATATTTTAATAACAATTTATTAGTACAAATCTACTCATCAATGTAGTTTTTTGTTGTATTATTTAGCTTTCTGTGCTGAAATATAGTATGTATACTCGTATTTACAAGTTTATGTATATTTTTATTTGTTACTTGAATTAAAATGATTAAACTTTTACTTTGCCATAGCCATGCAACAGCTTCTGCTGTTCAAAAATCTCGTTGGCTCGGTTTACAATTAGGAAATCTCACAGAAGACAGTAGAAGATAAAGTAGAAGTTATTGGGCTTTTTTACGTTTCGTCTGGTAAGTGTGGTAACGAGGGGTCACTCACACGCAACTACACGACAAAAACAGAAATCCATATATTCGGTGCTGATTAAGCTAATATAAAAAATCCAAAAGATAATTTATACGGTTAATATGGTACGTTAATACGGTAACGCAAACACACACAGACCTAAACAAATATAATATAAATCCTAGATGATATGGTGATCCTAGGGTATTGCGTGCATCGTTGGCTACCAATAGAGTGTTGCCCACTATACATGTGTGAAACGAACAAATATGCATTACCAACCTTCAATCAATAAGTAAGTGTAATGCTTCTATATTGAAAAAAGATATTTGACTTTGACTTAGTATCGTTGGTATCTTCATTCGAGCCTTCATTTTAACCAAAAAGCATTTTGACCGCAGTCCAGAATCGAATCTAGGAGTGCAAACGCCAGTAGACCCTGCTGCTTCGTTTAAGAACTTGTTTACATATTATGTTGGACATATTTCAGCCCATCAATTAGGTACCAGGGAAAAATAAGACGAAGTATATCGTGCTTACCATTAAACTTTCGTTTGCATATCATTATTTTTCCAAGAAACGTGCTTCCAGAAGAGAAGGTTCTAGATGTCCAAATATCTAGTTACCAATCCATTTTAAACGTCAACTTTTCATATTTCAACCATTCACAAAAATATAGCAACATTACAAAAACCACCGGTTTTTCTGCATACGGTATTTGAAAGATATTATATAAGATTATTTTATTAGCAAACAAATAAATCTTGTGCCACACTAAAGAGCGTTAGTGGTTTTTTCATTTATGAAATTAAAATAAGACAAAGTTCTCGTTGTAACCACTAATTATTTACTTAGATATTTTATTTGAATGCTGATATAATCATATACGAATTATGTAACTCAATAAAGTGTGCTAAAATATCAGTAAGACCGAAAGCGCAGGTCGACCACGAGTAATGTTTATTTGAACTTTAACCGCCTTATTGGGAAAAGTTATTTTAATATTCTCTAATATTTCCACAAATGTATATGGGGATAAAAATTTGTGTCAGCTAATCCGAGCGCTCCCTTTTAATTCAATAGCAACCAGTTCGATCAAGAATATAAAAACAAAAAAATTAAGTAGTTGACTAAAAATGCAATAAAATCATCCGGATTTATTCTAAACAGGAATAAATTCACCAATTAAGCCCTGAGGGGACGTTGTTTTGAAGGCAATAGCGTCCTTCGCATACAATTTACACAATGCTGCTAGGCTATTATTAATAATACAATCGAAAAACCGTCCTTCGTACAGAAATAACACAATGCTGATAGGCTATCTTTAGGAATAATATCGTGAAACACTAACAAGATACACCGCTACTAAACAACTTGCATCCCGCGTATCTGAAGTGTAGAATACGCTTCCCTACTCCGCATACGTGACCGCACACAATTATCGAACTCGGGCATCGATATAAAACTCACGGCTAGCGTCGGAAGCGTTCGTGGTGAGGAAACCTCCAGGAAGGAAGTCGCTCTTCGCCTCGTAATTGGAGCGTTCGTAAAGGAAACGCGCGGCCACTGTCACGATATGCGTTCAGGTCAGACTTGTGCAAACATGCATACAGTTATGTTTCCTGATTACACGCACGCACGTCTTTTTATAAGGCAGACAGCTATGTGTATTGCCGACCGCATTTGGTGAAGCTGCTAAATTGTAATGTATCACAAACCAAGTTTATGGACTTTAACCATAAACTCGGTATTGTGTTTTTTTATGGAGGAAAGGGGCAAACGAATAGGAGGCTCACCTGATGGCAAGTGATCACCGCCGCCCATGAACACCTGCAACGCCCGCTTACAAATGCGTTGCCGGCCTTTTAGAAAAGAGTGTCCTCTCTTCTTGAAGGTTGCCAGGTCGTAACGGTTCGGAAAGAACCGCCGGCGGCAGCTGGTTCCACAGAGTGGTTGTGTACTACAATATCTTAACAAACATCCTAACTTGTGTTCGTCCCGAGTTTTAGTGTGTCTCTAGTTCTACTAACAACAATAACGAAATAAATATATACCTTTCATTATGAACATTGATTTGTGTAATAAAAGTCTGATACCAAATAAAAGTACCGTTACTCTCTAATGAAGTTCTAAGTAAGTGTGCTTTTTCATTTGGGCAGTGAGTTTGTAGAAGGCTTCTTAACATGTAAAACTCATTGATGGACCCGTTGAAAGTCAGCAGTTAAATCTTTCATGAGTAGAAGCTTTAATTTGAGAACTAACTAGCAATCTAATATGAGTAGTAGTTTAAACAAGACTAAAACACACCATCTCGAGACGGTGGACAGTCCCATTGCTATATCATAAGTTGGAATAATGCAACATATATACAAAGCTGGTAAGTATCGGTTTCAAATTACACAGCCAGCAAACCATACGACCCAGTTAATGCATTTCAACATTCTCTTTAACAAACTAAAAACCGGTCTGACTTAGCCCAGCCTTTCCTAAACTTAAATCTAACGTTACACAAAAGGCATTGATTAAATACACTGCCAACTTTGTTTGAGCGTATCAAATTATCTTTATCCATTTTCTAACTCCTCCATTCTATTCCGTTTCTTTGTTACAAAAGGCTTAATAATGCAGTAGAATTGAATCGACAAATTCTGCTCATAAAAGGATTATACAAGCTCAATACCCTATTAAAGTCTTAAATCACAATACGGAAATACATCATTTATTACGTAAAATTTTGTTAACGTAATAATAAGACGGCTAGACTCACGTTAAATCGGTGCATGCCCCGATTAATTTAGGATCCATCGAAGGTCCTTCATCAGGGTGAGTGGGATTAGTTCGCGGTCGCGCCCCGTCTCGTAGGAGTGAGGCGTATAGCGAAACAGGACAATATCTCGAGATAACATACTGGTACCTGTTACGAAGAAACTTAAATAACAGTTCCTATTCCAGACAAATTGCTCCTTATCACACTGTCACAAGTTTTTCTTTATTCATGCTTACGACTGTTACCTTAGTTAGAAAGAGATAAAAACTGTTACACCTTGTCACAGTTGTTACTGATCACTGTCACTGTTACAAGCTCTTTCTTTTCTTGCATCGGTCTTATAGCTTTGTTAGAAAGAGAAGTACGCACGTTACCATAGACTAACATACTGTAATAGCTGTTACAGGATGTTACTCTATGGTAACAGTTACACAAATCGTCACAACATAGTATGAAATAACATGCTTATTTTGTAACAGGTATTTCAATGTTAGTTTTAGTAACAGGAACAGGCGTAACAGGTACTCGATTTAAACTAGTATAGCTCACTCCTACCGTCTCGCACTGCGTGTGGGTTGACAGGATGGAGGGGAGGGGGGAGCGATTTGCGCCAGCGATGGTGACGAATACGGCGAGATTGGTATAGTGAGTGACACTATATCAATCTCACCGGACTGGTGTTTGCACAATTGGTGTTATGGAGCGCACAAAATGTACTCACTATGTCCACTACACAATTGCTAGCACTATCGTATTTGTTTCGTGTCGTATTCAACAACACTGGTTCCCTAGTAGACGGCAGAGCCCATACTTTGTCTCTATTAAAATTGGCCGTTCGTTTTTGTTATGAAATATCTTATTCTTTAACCGAGCAATTCTTGTATATATATACATAATCGGAATCTCGGAAACGGCTCCAGCGATTTTCATGAAATTTAGTATGTGCATAGATTCCGTGGCGAAAAATCGATCTAGCTAGGTTTCATTTTTAGAAAATGTCCTTTTATCCCTGTTTTCAGGGAATGAAAAATATAATTCGAATATGACGGTAAATTTCGCCGCAAGAGAAAATGTCATAATAGCTCGGTCGGTAATCGGGCGGCCCCAAAACAGATGGCCGTGGTTCGCGTCGCGATCATTTACACATTTTTTTTTTACTTTTTTTTCGATTCCAGATCATTGCTTTCTTTATTTTTAATTTTTTGTCGATTTGTTATTTTGTTATTTCTTTCCCTTTTTTTAAAGTTCTTTCTTTTGTGAAAAACATCAGTTCATAATTTCTTATCATTACGTCGGTAAGATCGAAAAATATTATGCATATTTCATTACTTTACAGTAATTTGTGTCTAAATGTAATTTCCAAAATACACGATTTACCAAAAAAAAAAACAAACCGAGCAAAGCTCGGTCCTCCGGGTACTTTTTTTTAAATGTTATAGACCCTTCCCAAAATCCGGTCAATGAATTATAAATGATATCATCTAATATCGTATGTTGAGTTTTTCCATGAAACGTCACAATGTCTCAAATAACTTTAATATGGAAAAGAAGGCAAACAAACACCCTGTTACATGAACTATCATGTTGCGAATGTCCCTTTTTTTATGGGAAGAAAAGCAGCAAACGAGCAGGAGGCTCACCTGATGGTAAGTGATCACCGCCATCCATGGACATCTGCAACACCCGAGGGCTTACAAATGCGTTGGCGGTTATCAGTCACCAAGTACCATCGACACCACCTTGATGGTTGGCGGTCCATCACTCCGTTTTTCGCGAAATTTTCTACCTCGCACAACTATTTTGCGGAACGAGTTGTCGCCAGCGGTATTTCTAGACCGATACGACTTAGGGACCTTCAAGTAGGGAGCCTATTCCTACCTAAAAGGCCGGCAATGCAATTGCGACTCAACCGATTTTGAAAATGTCTATTGGCGGCGGTGATCACTTACTCTCAGGTGACCTGCATTTTTTTATGTGAAAAGTTGCCAAACGAGGAGACGGTTCACCTGATGGTAAGTGAATACCGCCGCCCATGGACATTTGCTACACCCGAGGGTTACAGATGCGTTGACACCCTTTTGAAAATTGAGCTCCGGCTACCTCACTCACCAGACGAAACGCGAAAGTATTCGTCATACTTTCACTTAATGCTGGTCTTCTGTGAGGTCGTGGTGCTTACCCGGACGGGCCTGCCCATTCGTGCAACGTCCCTACTGCGTGGCCCTGCCACCGCATGCTCATTTGCCTCCTTTTCCCATAAAAAAAAAACTAAACTGATCACCGTCAAGGGATATTCGCAATACTAGAAGTGTTACAAATCCCATACCGACGTGATTGTAGAAGTTGGCTCTCTTCTCACATTTGCGTTGTAGCATATTGTCCAGCAGATTGTCTTTCCGCTATTCCACGATTGAGCGGGCGGGGAAGTACCCGGTCCGTGATGGCGTGAAGCGGAACTATTATACTCGTACTTTTAAATATTGTCTGGCAAGTGAGGTAGCCGGGGCACACTTTTTAAAAGGTGGCGCATCTACCCACCAGGTGTTGTAGATGCCATAAGCAGTGTCAATTACTCACCATATGATCAGTGTCATATGATCCCTTACTCGCTTGACTCCTACACATAACATTCATATAAACACTTCAGTCGATTGGTACGTTGCTGCGTGAGAGATGAAGAAACAAACGAATATTAAACATTAGTCGGGATGGTTCTTAATTAACGATCGAGAGGAATCAAAGGTAACACCGCATAATGAAAAGAGAGAGTGCGACCATACGGGAGCAATTTGTGTGACAGCCTCTGCAATTTCTATATGTAAGATGACGTTGGAGAGATGTACTAATTAAGGAGTGCACGCCGCGCGCCGTGACGGCCACCGAGTTGACATGGACGCGTGCGGAGCGACAGAGCGACTTTCTAGGCGAGTAAACTCAGCCGCCAGTTTACTATAACATTTATGTAAGAATATATTTCATTAAGAACATCGCTACTAATGCAGTGTTAAATGAAAAAGTTTTAAAGGTTTTTTTCGCTAACAATTTTGTTTGTGATCTTAGACACCCTTAAATCGTTGAAGGATCTGTTCCAAGGAGGATGTTTTAGGGTTCCATAACCAAAGGGTAAAACGGGACCCTATTATGAAAACTCCTGCCTGTCTGTCTATATGTTCGTCTGTCAACAGGCTGTATCTCATTTACCGTGATGGTTAGACAGTTTAAATTAAATAAAATTTTGACATATAAAATATTTCTGCTGCGGTATAACAAACTAAAAAAAATTATTTAAATGGGTGCTCCCATGCAACAGACATGGTTTTTTCTGCCGTTTTCATAGTTAATGATACGGAACCCTTCGTGAGCGAGTCTAACTCGCACTTGGGCGGCTTTTTTTTAATTCCTATATTTAAATAGATATAAAGTCCAAATTGACTTTACCTGCATAAAGCTCTTTAGTAAAACTCATGACAGTTTTGCTTTAATTACAAATTCATAAAAATCACAGTGTAAATTAGGAATGTAATGAGTATTGCATTATATGTAACATTGAACTCAATAAAGCAGAAATCGTGATATTTCCCAATGAAACGTTCAAACTATTTAATACATATAAAACTTATTAACGCTAAATGTGTTACCTTGAAGTCTCGTTTAGGTAATAAAACAGGTTCATTAAGTTTCACTATTTTTAGGATTTTTTCAGATTTCACATTTTATAGACATTAACAATCAAGACAATGAGCCACTTTTGTTTGTACTTAACAACATTTTCCTGCAATTTCATGAATAGTCCTTCAGAAGGTAAATTGATGAGATAATTATGTAGAGAAAATCCAGTGTTAAAGAAGTTTTCTACGTAGACAGTTCAAGTACACAGCGGGTCAGGAACAATTAACGTGCATGCAAATACTTGTCATGACGAACGAAACAATAATATTGTAAGCAGGTTTGCTAGCGAAACAATAATATTGTG